ACATTCCAGTTCACTTCAGACCCACCAACACCCTGAGACAGGAGCTGGTCCACCCTCAGGACACGAGACACAAACAGAGCGACGTGGTGGAGGCACTTCAGTGCAGCGAGGAACGCCCAGATCTGGACATCAGGGAGACTAAACCACCGCTCCAGCACAGAAGCTCCTCAGGACAGCACTCAGCATCCACCTGCATCTCAAGGACAAAGGACTCTCATTCAAAGACAACAATGTACAGATGTTGGCCTGCAGGGAGGACAGATGGTTTGAGAGAGGAGTGGAAGAAGCCATCTAACAGGAGAGACCATCCCTCATCAGAGGTGGAGGTCTGAGGCATCACCTCTCACCTGTTACTGTTCAGTCCTAAGATCTCTCCCCAGGAAGATGAACCCACATCCACACCTAGACACAAAGACCCTAATGAACCCCACTGTGTCAGGAGGAGCACTAACGACCCACATAACGAGGGGGAGGAGCAACAAACCCCCAATTAAAACCGTAACTCAGGTGTTAATGGCTCCTTGAGGATATCAGGATATGGAACTCCCAACCAGTCAGTCAGAGCTGATGAAGCCTCTTGGATGAAGGTGGAACATCTACAAGGAACTCAAGCAGGTCCAGCTGATACCATTAATCTACCAGAAGACACACGGTGGAGCGTATCTGCCACTCCCCCGCCGCCACCGATGGAGGAAACAGAAGTGTGAGCGCTAACTAAACTAGCATCAGCAGCCAAGTACTGCCTGTGTGTTCTGGACACTTCCACCCCGTCAGAGTGCTGCCCCGGGGTGGAAGTGTCCCCCGACCGCTCAGAATATTCTGATATTCATCATTAATCGGATCTGTGTTGTTCAGACTGTCATGAACAGACCAGATCCAGGTCGTGTAGGAGAAAAGAATCGGATCTGGGTCACTTCAACTGCCGTCTGAACGTATTTGAACATATATTAACCTTTGATGAACGTACGGGCCGTACACAGTCACACCGGTCAGTTAGGCTGAAGTCCAGCGATGTGCAGTGTTCAAACAATGCACTCGTTATTATAAGAACTATGAACAATAAATATTAACAACTAATGAGCCTTCCAGCATCAAGCCCTCCTCGTATCTGGACCTCCGTCTGGACAATCCCACAGCCTTGATATCCGACATAGAAGAAGGTTTTACATTTAGTGTCGGGTTATCGAGTCCCGACTGGACTTCACAGAGCATTAAATTACACAAAACATTAGATGAAACAATAAAAGTAATGAAACATCTGTAAAAAGGCATCAGAGCAGAAATCAACGCTTTGTGAACTGAGGAACTGTCTGAGCTGTTCTGGTCGTCAGGAGGAGCTTGTCCTGCTGGAAACACAGACGTTACTGGATGTACCTGCAGCTTTATGAGAACATGTGTAGGCCTCTGACCGGCTGCTCGTGTGAAGTGACCAGATGTTAGCTGGTGGTGGACCTCCCTCGCTCTGCTAGCTGCTCCCAGCAAGAGCTGAACACTGAAAAACTCATATTGAAGCCAGAAAGCTCAAACACCAAACACTTGTGTGCGTAGATGATGTGTAGCTTTACTTCAGCTCTTCCAGTGAAGTGCAGCTTCCAACATTTTTGTACGAGCTACGTGGCACTGATTCCTAATCCGTCCTGAACGCTGGGAGTTACAGCGTTACACAGTTTGGTAAAGACCCTGTTTTCCCTCGTCTTCATCCAGTTGTTGCCGTCTGTCAGTAAACAGTTAAACTTTTGGGGGTCTGCGCCATCAATCAGCTGCTTTTAGTTCTGGGAATATGTTTGAAGTCTAAAGTAAACTATGTGCCTCCCCCATATGGTCCCACTTAGACATACCAGGCCCACGAGCTGCTCCCTCACATCGCCGTAGTCGCCCCCACCGAGGGAACCGCGTCCATCTGAAACCACAACTCCATCATTTAAGGGTCAAAAAAGTGACTACGCACCATGTGTTATTGGTGTCAGAGTGTTGTAAGCCCGCCACAAGAATTTGGTGTTTGTTTTTCACAGCTAATGAGCCACAGCGGCCTCAGCAGTCTGACTCTGTAGTTCAATGTTCACTTACTGTGGCTTCTATCAAACCCATGCACGGATTTACAAACACTGACAGTAAAGTGATGCTCCTTTCAAAGTAATGCGAAAAATAGTTTTTATTTATGTTTTAGCTTCATGCCAAGTGCGCTCATACGACTGTGATTTATTTTTCCCACAGACTTTCCCTGTTTGGTTAAATTACAACCAACAGAAAGGTCGTCGATGAACACGTTGACCATAAATAACACGGTGAAGGCTACGAATAACGTCCAAAACAAACAGAGACAGTAACTCACTCCATTTTAACACCGTCTCACTGCATTTGAATGAACCACGTGTCATTGTTTTACAGATATATGATCATTTTTGAGAGAAAATGCATTATTTATAGTAAAGATGACAAACGGTACAATCAACTGTAATTTTAAAGATTTTCCTTCTTTTGCGTAACTACCAATAAAAACTCAGCGACGGTGCCAGATTTACATTTCTGATTCTTGAATTATGATTTTTAAACTTACAGGATTTTGGCACTGTTGCTGCCAGATTTTCATTATTTTTACAGATTTGTTGATTTTTATTTTTTACAGTGTTGCAAAATAAATAAATAAATTCATGATAAAGAGTCATAAATTGTTTAATCAGCCTTCAACATTTGCCGTCTACACGCAGATTTTTGTGTGAAAAACAAATTAGCATCCAGTTTACTATCGTCTATATTTTCTCATTTTAAACTGCAAATGTTCAGGAGTTAAATGCAGTGAGAAATAGTTCAGCTTTATCAGTCGTATTTATACATGAAAACACATCTGATGTTTTGTTTTTCCTGTTAAAGGTCTAGTTTAACATTTGCTGTGCTCGGTCTTCTTCGGTTCTTGTAGCTTCACCTGTGTGGAGTTTCTCAAGTCACTTGTCAGGTGGCTTGTTTGGATCACCTTGAAGAGCAGTTGTTGTTGGCCTGGAGCTGCCTCGGTGTCTCCCGTCTCTTCGTGTGATCCCAGACGACTCCGTGATGCTGAGACCTGCCGTCTGCGGGGGTCAAACCATCTGTCGCAGGACTCTTTGATCCTCTTGTCACTGAAGATGTAGTCCTTTATGGCTGCGCGTCATGTGTGAGGCTGCTGTCAGGCTGCAGAGGGAACAGACGACAAACCTCCAAACATCTGCACAATACTGAATGTGTGCCGTCCTTGGTGTAAACGAGACACACAGTGACATCATCTGCTCCTTCACACATTATTTTCTGTATTTGTGAAAAACACAGTTCTTCCAGTGACACGACAGAACTGAGCCGTGACTTCACGTCTAATGTTAAATAACGTTTAACCCACAACTGTGATTCACCACATATCTACACTTTTGTAGTTTTATAAAGACGTGTTTGTTTAATGAGAGATAAATGCAGAACTACAGAAGAACTAACTTGTTAACGTAATGTGTTGATCAGTGTGTGACATGAAACCTGTCATGCAGTCAGTACAGCGGTTATCATTCAGCATTCATTGTTTTTACACTTTACATGAAAAAGCCAAAAAATGCTCCTGATCTCATGTAAGATCTGAACTAATCAGGGCTACAAGATGTATGTTAATAAAAAGACATTACTGTATTTTAATTGCATGACTATTTCCTGTCATATTTCTGTGTTTCTGGTGCCCAAGCTGCTGAAATATTATTTTTTTTACAGTGCAGGTGATGATTTTGCAGATTCATAAGATCATTGCACTGAATGGAAACTGTACTGACTATAAACTATACACAACAATGCTCTGCAGCTGTCTATACTGCTTACATAATAACTGTTATAAACACATTTAGAGTTTTCATTGATCTCATTGTGCGCTTGCAGAGCTAAAGTTAAAACAATATGTAAAGCAAACTTAGAAGAATGTCCAACAACTTCATTCACGTCCAGAACATCACCAGACGAAACTAGAACCCTTCACACCAGCTTCACATGATCACACAGACGAGAGAAAAACCAGTCTGCAGCTAACAATTGTGACACAAAAGGCGAATGAGCACGCACCTCAGAGACACACCCAGCCAGCAGCGCTGCTCAGACCAACAGGTTTACAGGTGTCGTCTACAGGACGAGCTTAGTGTTGGTGGTCACTCGCTCTCACTCGTCCACTTTCATCTGCAGAAACTCAAACCAGGTAAAAGCAAAAAGGATTTTTGGAGTCACCTCAGAGGTTTGTCTGTCTGCTGAGAGCCAGACAGGAGCGTCGGTGCAAACAGAAAGCTGTCCTACTGGCTCTGCCTGATTCCTGCCTCCACTCTGTCACAGGCTGCTGAGTGCTTCCAGGGAATAAAGTGGCACAAAGAAGGTCACAGCCGGGAAGTGTGTTCTGAGAGGAGACACAGACTTCATGGAGGTAGACATGCTTTTTGTTCCTATGGCTGTGTGGTGTTGGTGTACTCTGTCCCACCTTGTTGCTCTGGTTCTGTTCAGACTCAATGCTTTCTCTCTCCCACACATTTCCTACTCACTGCCTCTTTTGTTTTCTGTCACACATGTTTTCTGTCCTTTCTGTTCTCAGGTCAGCGGGCCGGCGGGGGCTGGACATGTGTGTTTTTAATTGTCCTTCCGATAGCGCTGCCTGTTTCCTGTGTACCGAGGGGCAGAGAGAGGCTAGCCATCGCAGAGGCAGTCTGAAAGCAGAGGCTCCTCCTGCCAGCATCTCAGAGGATGTGTGAAGACAGACAGGGCGAGTGTGCAACACACCAGTTTCACACCAGACCCATAAACTGAGCGGCACAAACCACAACCAGGAGAAGAGGAAGAAGGCCCAACAGATGAGTGGCTGTTTGATGGTATCATCTCAACTCGAGGATGGAGAAAGACAGTAGGAAACCAAAGACCTTTGTGTCCACCTTCCGCTTGGCCCTCAAGCCTCAAACCCAGCCTACCTCTGTGAAGAAGCAGAAAGAGAACGGACTGGACACAACGGACAGGACTTTGATGGGAAACAGCAAACTGGGGATCCCATCTGCAGCAGGTAAAGGCATGACAAACAGCTGACAAGTTCATTTTCTGATCTGCCCGTTTGTAAAACTCTGCTCTAACCGTTCAGTATTGCAATATAACTGGAAGGTGTTCATCACATTTACCACAGTTGCACCACTTCCCTCAGCCCACTGTGGCGATTCACGCTTCAGCTCAAACCGCTCACATGAGGACATTTCAAAGGACTTTCAGGGACACCAGGAAGGCTGGAATCTGTTTGAGTAAATCTGTACAACAAAGTCAGAACCCCTGAAGCTGTGTGTTGAAGTCACTAGTTTGACATTATTGTGAAATGTGCTGTTAGTTGTGGTGTCTGACGGTTAGTTTTGTCCTCAAACCTTTCCTCCCCTCCTGCTCCCTAATGTACACAGACTGATGGCATTCCTTCGTCCACTGGTGACCGCCCACTGACCACCCAGCTGGACGTTCCAGCACCAAAATGCACTCGTACTTATACAAATGTGGTGGGAAAACCTTGTAAACAGCCAGTTGAATTCCACTTCACTTACAGCCGTACTGTAGTCTATTAAACCAGATCAGTGATGAACTGACGCCGCTCAGCCTGGAGGCAAAAACAGACAAAGACCTGCATTAGTCTGCAGCCTTCTGCAGTCAGGAGCATGAACCCATGAACAGCTTATAGTGCCACAGTACACTTTGTGAAAAGAGATTTTTTTTAAATGAACCGTTTCTCTAAAGCGTTCTGTATAGAGCCTCCACAGGCTTCGTAAACAACCCTCAAAAAACTGGTTCCAGTCTGGAGTTTAAATAGTGCTTCAAAAAACTGCAGCGGAAAAAATGTTTTGTCAGGAACCATTTTCAGGATGAAGGATCTTGATAATAATTTAACAACAAAGGGACTCAGACATGCAGTATTCTGGCTCTTTTCCATTCTAATGCATTTAATAGTTTCAGCTCTGGACTGTTGATCAGAAGATGCCAGTTTTGGATTTGAGAAACGCCGTTCTCACCGTTTTCTGATGTTTTACAGACCAAGTGATTGATCTAACTCTCTAACTTTATTACCTGCCACCAAACCAAATAACTCCAATAAAAATACAAATCTTTAATTCTGTGGCGAACCACATAAATTAATTAAAAACCATCCTAAAGGCTCTTTAATTGGCACAACAAGAGAACCTTCTGAAGAACCATTAAATAACCATCATTTTTCTGAGTATCCTTATTTTTATGCAGCATCTTTAAATACATTTATGTTGCATAACGTAGATGCAACATAAGCCCCCCTGCAGCCCTTGACCAGACTAAGCCGTGTACAGATAATGGATGGGTGGACACACACATGAAACACCAGCTAATGACTGAGGGTTTGGATAATGTGGTCCATCCTGGTGAGTCAGTGATAGAGGAACGCTGGCCTGCAACTAAACAAAGCACGTCTGGAAACAAAACCTATTGTCTTTGTACATCTGCTTTCTGTTCAGATTCCCGGCAGACAAAAGTTCAGAGTGTTGAAGCGCCGCGCTTCAAAGAGCCGCTCAGAGACTGTACAGTCTGTGGTGGAGGTGATGCTACGCTGCAAGGTGTTATCACCGGAAGTCAACCTCTGAGCGTTTCCTGGCTACACAATGGTAAGTGACTCATTAGAATTCTTTAGAAAATACCAGTTGGTAGAATATGTCAGCCATGAAGACGTCCAAACAATGACAGATCGACTGTATTGATCATCTGTGATGGAAACATGTTGGTCTGATGTTTTCTTGGTTTGTAGGTGAGAAGGTGCATTCAAATAAGACTTCATTCAAAAACGGTGTTGCCAGCCTGACTCTGTCTGCGTGTTCACCTGTAAACGCTGGTACGTACACCTGCACAGCTGAGAATGCTGCAGGTAAACAGTCGAGCAGCGCTGCACTACGTATCACAGGTAAAGCATTTTGTGCAGAACAACCAGTGATGATGAGCAGAGCGGCATTAAACTGACCCCTGTACAGTAAACCTACTTCACTCTGTTTACACTGGAACAGCAACAAAGGAAACCGTCAGAACAAACCGCCGTGAGCTGCACGGTGAGGTCACGTCTGGGGTTGCATCACATGAAAACACCAGATTGTCCTCAGCTTCTAAAGGGGCAGAAGAAAAGGACAAAGGTAGATCACTAAACATCGTCACACACCCATGAAATTATCCCTTGTTTCTGCTTTTCTTCTTCCTTTGAATAAAATAATCCTCTACAAATAATGCAAATTAACCGTAATACACTCACCATAATGGAGGGTAGGGAGGCAGCAACGAATGCAGGAAGTGACAAACTGAGACCGATGTGGGCGTTTAAATCACAGCTTTGAGTCTCAGCACCCACACAAACATTTCTGGTAACTGAACATGGAGTCCAGAAACTGCTGCCTACCTGTTCAAAAAAATGCTACCACATGATTGGTCAGTTGCTTTTTAAATCCCCCAATCAGTGAGCCTACCTGTAAATCGGCCATCTTCTTCAGTCTCCACAGACATCAGAGACAGCAGCCTTCAGACAAAAGCCTCCACCAACAAAGGTGAGGATCCCATATCACATCATACAAAGACCTGAATGAAGATAAGGTTGATTTCTTTGGCTCAGGCTTTAGAAAACAAACTAATTGAATCTCCTCAGGGCCTCCTGTGGAGTTTCTGGACCCACCAGAGCAGGTGGAGGTCCGAGTGGGCGAGCAGGCCCGACTACAGTGTGAGTTCAGGAGCAGCTCCGTCCCTGTGGCCTGCTGCTGGATTTACAACAGAGACAAGGTCCGAATGTCTGAACTGTCGTTAGCATCGAGCTTCGACTTGTTCATTTGTGCCTGTGAAACCCTTGATGACGTCCAACCTTGTTCCTCTGCAGGTGGTGGCAGGAGGGCCGCGGATTTCAATCTGCAGCACCAAGACGCAGAGCGGCGTTGAGATCTCTCAGGCGGTTCCGGAGGATACAGGCCTGTACACTGTGGTTGTACGAAACAGAACAGGTTCTGCTCAGCACACAGTTTCGCTCAGCGTCATAGGTGAGACTCACTTCAGTGCTCTAAGTGATCACTGCTGTGCTGATAGGAGGCTGACAGACTGAACAAAAGAAATCAGAGACAGATAATGAGGTTAAAAGTGAAAAGTCAGGAGCTCGGAACCATAATAATAATA